CAATGATGACAACAAAATGAAAATGAGCGACATATTCATCAATGGAGGGAAACTGAGGAAAATCATTTCATTTCCACCAATGAATGACAATGTGAGGGAGGGACGTTCACCTATGGGGACTTCCGGGGTCCTTGGAGCTCCACCTGTAAAGCCCGAGAGTGCTTCCCCTCCCAGCAAGCAACGTATTGACTGTAGTGTGCTGTACTGGTGTGGTGTGCCTAATACTGTGTGCCTTCAGGACCTCCTCAGACCACCCCGAGAACTGTGTGCCTTCAGGACCTCCTCAGACCACAGAGAACTGTGTGCCTTCAGGACCCCCTCCTCAGACCACCCAGAGAACTGTGCCTTCAGGACCTCCTCAGACCACCAAGAGCACTGTGTGCCTTCAGGACCTCCTCACACCACCCCGAGAACTGTGTGCCTTCAGGACCTCCTCACACCACCCAGAGCACTGTGTGCATTCAGGACCTCCTCAGACCACCCAGAGAACTGTGTGCATTCAGGACCTCCTCAGGCCACCCTGAGAAACTGTGTGCCTTCAGGACCTTCTCACACCACCCAGAGAACTGTGTGCCTTCAGGACCTCCTCACACCACCCAGAGAACTGTGTGCATTCAGGACCTCCTCACACCACCCCGAGAACTGTGTGCTTTCAGGACCTCCTCACACCACCCAGAGCACTGTGTGCATTCAGGACCCTCACACCACCCAGAGAACTGTGTGCCTTCAGGACCTCCTCAGACCACCCAGAGAACTGTGTGCTTCAGGACCTCCTCAGACCACCCAGAGAACTGTGTGCCTTCAGGACCTCCTCACACCATGTGCCTTCGGAGACCACTGTGTGCCTTCAGGACCTCCTCAGACCACCACCCAGAGAACTGTGTGCATTCAGGACCTCCTCACACCACCCCGAGAACTGTGTGCCTTCAGGACCTCCTCAGACCACCCCAGAGAACTGTGTGCATTCAGGACCTCCTCAGACCACCCAGAGAACTGTGTGCATTCAGGACCTCCTCACCCACCACCCCAGAGAACTGTGTGCCTTCAGGACCTCCTCAGACCACCCAGAGAACTGTGTGTGCCTTCAGGACCTCCTCAGACCACCCCGAGAACTGTGTGCCTTCAGGACCTCCTCAGACCACCCAGAGAACTGTGCATTGCCTTCAGGACCTCCTCAGACCACCCCGAGAACTGTGTGCCTTCAGGACCTCCTCAGACCACCCCCCGAGAACTGTGTGCATTCAGGACCTCCTCAGACCACCCAGAGAACTGTGTGCATTCAGGACCTCCTCAGACCACCCAGAGAACTGTGTGCATTCAGGACCTCCTTACCACCCAGAGAACTGTGTGCATTCAGGACCTCCTCAGACCACCCAGAGAACTGTGTGCATTCAGGACCTCCTCAGACCACCCAGAGAACTGTGTGCATTCAGGACCTCCTCAGACCACCCAGAGAACTGTGTGCATTCAGGACCTCCTCAGAACACCCAGAGAACTGTGTGCATTCAGGACCTCCTCAGACCCAGAGAACTGTGTGCATTCAGGGACCTCCTCAGGACCACCCAGAGAACTGTGTGCATTCAGGACCTCCTCACACCACCCAGAGAACTGTGTGCCTTCAGGACCTCCTCAGACCACCCAGAGAACTGTGTGCATTCAGGACCTCCTCAGACCACCCAGAGAACTGTGTGCATTCAGGACCTCCTCAGACCACCCAGAGAACTGTGTGCATTCAGGACCTCCTCAGACCACCCAGAGAACTGTGTGTGCCTTCAGGACCTCCTCACACCACCCGAGAACTGTGTGCATTCAGGACCTCCTCAGACCACCCCGAGAACTGTGTTCATTCAGTTTGACCCTTACCTTGAAGCTAAAACTAACCATATACAACACAGTGACAGATGATGTTTGTTTTTGTATCGCCTTCTGACAGCGATGAGGTCTGGGCACGTTTACCTGTTGGACTGATGACTGTCATTGATGAAAGTCTGCCTGCTTCTCCAAATCATCTCCACCTTGACCCAAAGTCTATCGCCATCATAGCCGAGGGAGGTATTGTAATAGAGGATCTCCAGAACCCACCTCAAGCACTTTGCCTCTTCTTTGGACTTTTATATGCTTTACACCTGGAATACCCTAAAGCCATGAAAAACACTTAACTTCATTCAAAGAGTGACGCTGGGCCTGGGGGGGAACAAACTCCCACCAAAACTGCAGAGTCTTCATCTCCTGTTGAGTTACAATGTTTGTTTTGGTTTTGTTTTGTTTTTCTGCATGCCTGGGACCTGTTTTCAATGGACTAAAGTTAGCTGACGTCACAGAGCTCAGAAACCTTTGTGTGTTCTAAAATGTATTGTAATAGATGTTCAAGCGCTGCATCAAAATGATCTGCCAATCCCTTCATTGGCTCCCGATTGCCCAACGCATCAAGTTCAAGCTGCTAACCCGGACCTACAAGGCCATTCACAATGCCGCCCCGAACTACAGAACCGACCTGATACCCAGATACTACCCTACCCGTGCCCTCCGCTCCTCACAGGACCTCCTACTCTCTAGCTCCCTGGTCTCCTCCTCCCACGCCCGATTGCAGGACTTCTCCAGGACTTTCCCCATCCTCTGGAACTCCCTACCCCAATCCATCAGACTGTCACCTGCCCTCCTCACCTTCAGGCGCACCCTGAAAACCCTCCTCTTCAGGGAAGCCTACCCCGCCCTCACCTAACAACTAACCTCCTCCACTCCATCCCCCACAGCCACTTCCTCCTGTACCACCATCCCCTCCCTTCTAGACTGTAAGCTCCAAGGATCAGGGCCCTCGATCCCCTCGTGTATTGTATTGTTACTGTCTTGTCTCATGTTCTGTCCCCCTTGCTACTGTACAGCGCTGAGCAAACCCATTGGCGCTATATAAATACTGTATAATAATAATAATGATCTGTCTCTGGTCCTTACATACCAAATCACCAAAATAGAAAACATAGACCTACCTCAGTGCTTGTACAGAACCAATACAGGCTAAAGTAATGTCATATATTGCCATTGATGTTCAATTGCCTCAAAGTAATGTATCTGTGATCATACAAGAAACATACCTGAGTGGTTGTATGTTACCAATGTGGGCTAAACTCATTCCATGTATCACAATTGGTATTAAAGCCGACCGACTGCCTCAAAGTGATCTGTACTGACATGGAATAAACGCATGGAGTGATCTGTACTGACATGGAATAAACGCATGGAGTGATCTGTACTGACATGGAATAAACGCATGGAGTGATCTGTACTGACATGGAATAACCGCATGGAGTGATCTGTACTGACATGGAATAACCGCATGGAGTGATCTGTACTGACATGGAATAAACGCATGGAGTGATCTGTACTGACATGGAATAAACGCATGGAGTGATCTGTACTGACATGGAATAAACGCATGGAGTGATCTGTACTGACATGGAATAAACGCATGGAGTGATCTGTACTGACATGGAATAAACGCATGGAGTGATCTGTACTGACATGACATGGAATAAACGCATGGAGTGATCTGTACTGACATGGAATAAACGCATGGAGTGATCTGTACTGACATGGAATAAACGCATGGAGTGATCTGTACTTACATGGAATAAACGCATGGAGTGATCTGTACTTACTGACATGGAACTGACAAACGCATGGAGTGATCTGTACTGACATGGAATAAACGCATGGAGTGATCTGTACTGACATGGAATAAACGCATGGAGTGATCTGTACTGACATGGAATAAACGCATGGAGTGATCTGTACTGACATGGAATAAACGCATGGAGTGATCTGTACTTACATGGAATAAACGCATGGAGTGATCTGTACTGACATGGAATAAAGGCATGGAGTGATCTGTACTGACATGGAATAAACGCAAGGAGTGATCTGTACTGACATGGAATAAACGCATGGAGTGATCTGTACTTACATGGAATAAACGCATGGATGCCGTTGTCTAGTTTGTACATCTCTAGAATATATGCAATGAGTTTATTCCATGTAAGTACAGATCACTTTGAGGTAGTTGGTCAGCTTTAACAATAATGGTGTGAACCTCCTGCGCTCACTAGTGTTCAACTCTATATATAGAGAAGAGAAGCTGCTAACATTAAATCACATACCAATGATTACCATAGACATATAAATAATAAATAATAATGTAGCGCCACTCACATAATAAACAAGTGCATATAAATATATGTACCAAGTGTATCAATTAGTGAAAAATGCCAAATCAACTATTGACCAAATGATTTCATGCAAAAATCCAAACAATTATATGTGAACACAAAATGTGATGGTGATAATAATTGAAAACAATTGATGCTGATTAAATACAATCTTCAAAAATAATTATAATGACCTAAATTATATGGAGAACATATATATCTCTTTATAGAAAACATATGGAAGATTGTATTTAATCAGCATCAATTGTTTTCAATTATTATCACCATCACATTTTGTGTTCACATATAATTGTTTGGATTTTTGCATGCAATCATTTGGTCAATAGTTGATTTGGCATTTTTCACTAATTGATACACTTGGTACATATATTTATATGCACTTGTTTATTATGTGTATCTTTAAACTGAACCTCTCCAAAACAGAGTTTCTTGTCTTCCCCCCCCCCAGCCCGGACACCACCCCCCATTGACTTCTCCATCACAGCCAACAACGCCACCATCAAACCCGCCCCGCAGGCCAGAGTACTTGGTGTCATTCTGGACTCCAACCTATCCTTCCAGCCCCAAGTCCAATCTTTAACAAACTCATGCAGACTCCACCTCCGCAACATGCAAACTCCGCCTCCGCAACATCGCCAAAATCCGCACATTCCGCCTAACCCCAGAAACCACTAAACAGCTCATCCACTCCCTCATCATATCACAACTGGACTACTGCAACTCCCTCCTCACTGGCCTGCCTCGCCGCTGGCTATCCCCGCTTCAGTCCATCCTGAATACGGCTGCTAGACTCATCCACCTTACCAACCGCACCCCCCCGCTTCCGCCACCCCCTTCTGCCAATCCCTCCACTGGCCTCCACTCAGTGTCCTCCACTGGCTCCACCCCCCTCTGCCAATCCCTCCACTGGTCCTCCACCCTCCTCTGCCAATCCCTCCACTGGCTCCCACCCCCCTCTGCCAATCCCTCCACTGGCCTCCATTCAGTGTCCTCCACCCCCCTCTGCCAATCCCTCCCCTCCACTGGCCTCCCCTCAGTGTCCTCCACCCCCCTCTGCCAATCCCTCCACTGGCCTCCATTCAGTGTCCTCCACCCCCCTCTGCCAATCCCTCCACTGGCCTCCATTCAGTGTCCTCCAACACTGGCCTCTCTGCCAATCCCTCCACTGGCCTCCATTCAGTGTCCTCCACCCCCCTCTGCCAATCCCTCCACTGGCTTCCGATTGCGCAACGGATCAAATTCAATATCCTAACACTGACGTACAAAGCCGCCCACCATACTGCCCCGAACTACATCACTGACCTAATATCCAAGTACCACCCAACACGCACACTCCGCTCCTCACAAGACCTCCTTCTCTCTAGTTTCCTGGTCTCCTCCTCCCATGCCCGCCTCCAGGACTTCTCTAGGGTGTCACCCATCCTCTGGAACTCCCTGCCCCAACCCATCAGATTATCACCTACTCTCCTCTCCTTTAGGCTCACCCTGAAAACCCACCTCTTCAGGGAAGCCTACCCCACCCCCTGCTAACTTGCCGACCTCCTCCACTCTTCCTACCACTCCATCCCCCCACAGCTATCTCCTCCTGTGCCACCATCCCCTCCCTCCTAGATTGTAAGCTCCAAGGAGCAGGGCCCTCAATCCCCTCATGTTTTGCATTGTATTGGTATTGTTCTGTCACATGTTCTGTCCCCCTTTGTAATGTACAGCGCTGAGCGAACTATTGGCGCTTTATAAATACTGTATAATAATAATAATATAAACTACTATAGGCAATAACTAGCTTTGTCCAGTTTAAAGAACAACTTAACCTAAGAGTGTGACATCATACTCAAGACCAGGTGACCTTTCAAAAATCTAATAAACCGATTTGTCATATGAAGGGATCAAGGTGTGAGAGAAAGTTTTATAACAAAGATATGGAAGTCTGTCAGTGGCAGGAGATTTATGGAGAGGTCCTGTAGGTCTACAGTGGCTGCTATCTCCTCCAGAGTTATTGGACGGTTAAGTTGCATGATATCTATGACTTTCAGCTTAGAAAGACCACTTTAGTTCAGGTAATCTTGGATGTGGGGGGGATGCTCAATTCTGGGTCAAATGTGAGATAAGTAGTGTACGGGAGATCAGCAAGGCAGAGCACAGGGGATTCAGCAGAGAACAGTGCAGGGTGGCAAGTAGAGAACAGTATAGGGGGGACAGGAGAGAACTGTACAGGGGAGGGCAGGAAGGAACATTATAAGGGGGCCAGAAGAGCCCAGCATAGTACAGGGAGGTCATGAGGGAATAGTACAGGGGTGCCAGGAGAGGACAGTATGGGGGTCAAGGAGAGGATAGTATATGGGGGCCATGAGAGAACAGTATAGGGGGGACAGGAGAGAACTGTACAGGGGAGGGCAGGAAGGAACAGAATAAGGGGGCCAGAAGAGCCCAGCATAGTACAGGGAGGTCATGAGGGAATAGTACAGGGGTGCCAGGAGAGGACAGTATGGGGGTCAAGGAGAGGATAGTATATGGGGGCCATGAGAGAACAGTATAGGGGGGACAGGAGAGAACTGTACAGGGGAGGGCAGGAAGGAACATTATAAGGGGGCCAGAAGAGCACAGCGTAGTACAGGGAGGTCATGAGGGAAATAGTACAGGGGTGCCAGGAGAGGACAGTATGGGGGTCAAGGAGAGGATAGTATATGGGGGCCATGAGAGAACAGTATAGGGGGGACAGGAGAGAACTGTACAGGGGAGGGCAGGAAGGAACAGAATCAGGGGGCCAGAAGAGCCCAGCATAGTACAGGGAGGTCATGAGGGAATAGTACGGGGGTGCCAGGAGAGGACAGTATGGGGGTCAAGGAGAGGATAGTATATGGGGGCCATGAGAGAACAGTATAGGGGGGACAGGAGAGAACTGTACAGGGGAGGGCAGGAAGGAACATTATAAGGGGGCCAGAAGAGCCCAGCATAGTACAGGGAGGTCATGAGGGAATAGGACAGGGGTGCCAGGAGAGGACAGTATGGGGGTCAAGGAGAGGATAGTATATGGGGGCCATGAGAGAACAGTATAGGGGGGACAGGAGAGAACTGTACAGGGGAGGGCAGGAAGGAACATTATAAGGGGGCCAGAAGAGCACAGCGTAGTACAGGGAGGTCATGAGGGAATAGGACAGGGGTGCCAGGAGAGGACAGTATGGGGGTTAAAGAGAGGATAGTACATCGGGGCCACAAGAGAACAGTATAGGGGGGTCAGGAAGTAACAGTATAGGGGGGCCAGGAGGGAACAATATAAGGGGGGTCAGGAAGGAACAGTATAGGGGGGGAAATAGAGCACAGAGGTCCCTAGAGGGTCTTCTACAATCTCCTTTCCATCAGAGAGGGTACAAGGAGGCCAGGAGGAAACAGTACTGAAGGGTTGCAGCGGTTTTCCTCATGCAGAATAGCTCAGGAAAGCTGCTGGATCATATCTGGTGTGCTGATCCCCCACCCGTCCTCCTCTCTTGTCCCTCCCAAGTGATGTTTATACACAGCACCTGGGACAGACAGAAGGGGAGGGCTGGCTGGGATCAGGACATGACAGGGATGCAAGTTGTTCCCTCTGCAACTCTGCATCTTGACTATTAGCTATGTGGGGATGCGATCTACCCGTCTTCTGCTTGTGATGGATGGGCAGATCCTGGTGGAGCCATTGGGGACCTCTCACGGAACCTCGGTTGAGAAACATTTTTCTAGATGGTTGGTCTCACCATTTTATTGAGAGGAGGAAAAAAATACCACTTTACTGAGCAGACTATAAGAAAACATTATACTGTGATGGTGGAGAACATCAATAGGAAGTTTAAATGGTTATAAAGATAAACTAATTTGTCAAATGTACCCTCTTACCTGTCAATTAAGGCCTGAGAGGAGGACAGAAACTATCATCTACTGTATCCCAACACTCAGTCAACTGTAGGAGGTACACGATGGAGCCCACAAGCAAACTAAATTGGAACCTTATCCCTGCAGTGACCCCTAGTGGCAGATTTTTCTTGTCTGAGAACTGAACTGAGAAGAACAGTGTTACTTGAATTGTATTCCAGGCAGGGGCAGACTGACAACTTATGGGGCCCCCGGGCAATAGTGGATCATGGGGCCCCTGTGTCCTTGCCCACACTCAAAGCACACCCAAAAAAGCTTATAAAAAAGGTGCCAGGGGCATTTCATGGGGCCCCCTACTGACCCTGGGCCCTCGGCAGTGCCCGAGTGCTCAAATGATCAGTCTGCCCCTGATTCCAGGCTTTGAGTGTCTTCAGCTGAACTTTCCATAAAGTGTCAGAAACCCTTCATTAAGGTCTTCATGTTATATACAATAGTTTAAATACTGTCATAGATATAATATTTATCATTTTAAAAGAACATATTCTACACTTTTTATTTTATTTTTTTTTCAAATTTTCTTGACTTTGGAAAGAAAATGAAAAAAAATTATTTTCAATTTTTTTGTTTTTTCCAGGCCTTCTCATCTCAAGCCATAAATCATAGAGATCAGGTGTTTTTCTGTTAAGGGGACAGGACAACTGCACCGCATCAAAGGGACGATGGACGGGGCAATGTACCATCAAATCTTTTGTGAGAACCTTCTTCCCTCAGCCAGGGCATTGAAAATGGGTCGTGGATGGGTGTTCCAGCATGACAATGACCCAAAACACACGGCCAAGGCAACAAAGGAGCGGCTCAAGAAGAAACACATTAAGGTCCCGGAGTGGCCTAGCCAGTCTCCAGCCCTTAATCCGATTGAAAATCTGTGGAGGAGCTGAAAGTTCGAGTTGCCAAACGTCAGCCACCAAACCTTAATGACTTGGAGAGGATCTGCCAAGAGGAGCGGGCCAAAATCCCTCCTGAGATGTGTGCGAACCTGGGGGCCAACTCCAGGAAACGTCTAACCTCTGTGATTGCCAACAAGGGATTTGCCACCAAGTACTAAGTCATGTTTTGTGAAGGGGATCAAATCCTTCTTTCCCTCATGAACATGCAGATCAGTCATCATTTGTTAGACGCATTTCTGCTGAATTTGTTGTTGTATTCTGTCTCTCAGTGTTACACCGAACATTCCATTTTTAGACCGATCATTTCTTTGTGAGGGGCAAACATTCAACATCAGCCGGGGAGCAAATACACATTTCCTTCACTGTAATATAATACCCAATTTTTGGTAAAATATAAGAGATTAGGTTGCATCGAGTAAATAGATACCAAACATAAAAATTGTGTGCACCCGGGAAATGGCGACAAACTACTGTACCTAAAAACCTTTACAAATTTGCAGTTAATCATGAACAATGGCCCTAGAAATATTACTCTGACTCTGAGATTTGTAGCCATACCTAACAATTGTGGTGCAATCATTGTTTACACTACCCACGCTATTTTTGTTTGAATTTGTGTGTATGTGCATGGGGGATTTTAACCCACTTGACCTCCAGAGGATTTACCCCCCTTAATGACCACGCCTCTTTTTGCTACTCGGCGCTGCACTAATTCAACTGGTAATTGTGCGGTCATGCAATGCTGCACCCAAATGAAATTTACGTCCTTTTTTTCACACAAATAGAGCTTTCTTTCGGTGGTATTTGATCACCTGTGCGCTTTTTATTTTTCACGCTATATAAACAAAAAAAGGCCAAAAATTGTGAAGAAAAACAATATTTTTTTACTTTCAGCTATAAAAAATATATAGTAAACTCAAAGTTGGGTTATAAATTTAGGCCAAAATGTATTCTGCTCCATGTTTATGGTAAAACAAAATCCCAATGAGTGCATATTGATTGCTTTGTGTGGAAAGTTATAGCGTCTACAAACT